TTTAATGTGCACTATTTCTGGCAGTCTGCTTAGGCCCTTAGGGAGCTGGGTTTATTTAGGCTGGAGGTGAAAAAGTGATATAATAGGCCTGTTTAAATATCTGAAGGGATGTCATATTGAGGAGGGTGCTAGCTTGTTTTCTGCTGCTCCAGAGACTAGGACCCAGAACAATGGATGCAAGCTCCAGGAAAAGAGATTCCACCTCAACATTAAAAGAGATTCCACCTCAACATTAGGAGGAACTTCTTGACAGTAAGAGCTGTTCAACAGTGGAACACACTCCCTCTCCTTCTATGGAGGCTTTTAAACAGAGGCTGGATGGCCATCTGTGGGATGTGTGTGTGTGTGCTTTGATTGTGCATTCCTGCATGCCAGGGGTTTGGCCTGGATGGCCATTGTGGTCTCTTCCAACTCTCTTATTCTATGACTTCTCTGAGGCTGAGAGAGAGTCTCACTCTCTGAGAAAGAGAGAGAGTGTGACTTGCCCAAGGCCACCCATATGTCCCAGCCGGGATTCGAACCCTGATCTCTGTGTCCTAGTCCAACACTCAAACCACTACGCCACACTGGCTCCCGGAGGAGGCAATTCGGGGCACGACTTGATATCCTTTGGGGTTCCCTCATCCCACCTCGCCAAATCCAGACCCCTCTCTGTGCAGCAAGGCTTCAGAGTCCAACTGGCCTAAGAAACTGGAGAAGCTTTCTATAATCCCACCCCACTCCACACATTGGGGGAGCTCCAGGTGTGGCTGGAGCACAACTCCCAGCATTCTTAACCTCGCTTGGCTATGACTGGCTGATGGGAGTTGTAGTCCAACCGCACCTGGACTTCCCACGACCAATTTTGGCAAAGCAAGCCCCCTCTGAAGAAACCTTTTCCTCTCGATAGAAGCCCAAGCCACTTTGGATCGCCTAGAGATGCCTTCCTAAAATGGTTGAATGTAATAGGACTGGAGCCCACGTGTGGCATAGTGGTTTGAGCGTTGGAGATGATGATGATCATGGTGATGATGATGATGTTGATTATTATTATTATTATTATTATTATTTCTCGCCTTTTGGAACACAAAGGGGCTTACCAATTTAAAAGCAATACAATAAAAAAATTACAAAACTACGACTCTGGAGACCAGGATTCGAATCTTGGCTCAGCCATGGAACTCCACTGGGCCACCTAGAGTGAGTCACACTCTCTCAGCCTCAGAGGATGGCAATGGCAAATCCCCTCTGAAGAAACCTTGCCAAGAAGACTAAGACAGGTTCGCCTTTGGGTGGGCATAAATTGGAAACGACTTGAAGGCACACAACAACAACCACAACCATAACCACAACCACAACAGGGCTGGAAGGAATCGCCCAAGGGAACAGATCCCCTACAAAAGAGACACATTCCTCTTCCTTCCTTCTTTCCTCTTTTACTTCACATCTATTTTTAATCGCATGGCCTATTTGTCACTCTGTTTAGCGAGTTTTTAACAACTCATTTTAAAGTATTTTTTGAGAGAGGAAGGGAGCGGGAAACCTCCTCTCCGCCGCCAGTCGGGAAACTTGGGCTGCATCCACACTGCAGAAATAAAATAATTCGGGTTGACACCACTTTAACTCCCATGGCTCCATGCTATGGGATTCTGGGGGTGGTAGTTTGCTCCGCTCTGGTGCCACAACAAACTACCATTCCCAGAATCCCACAGCATGGAGCCATAGCAGTTAAAGTGGTATCAAACCGAATTATTTCTGCAGTGTGGATGTTAACCCGGATCTTGGGGAAATTTGCATCCCTCCAAGCTAAATTCTCCTTGGCTTTCCCCTTCTGTTCTTCCTCCTCCAAAAATAATTTGGTTAAGCAGCATCTCCGAAGCCTCTCCTCTGCTTTCTCCTTTTGTTCTCCTTCCCCATTTTTCCTTTGCATTTCAGGTCTCTCCTCGGCTTTAATAAAGGATTCTTTTTTGTCTCTTTAATTCTTTAATTAACTCTGCTTTCCCCCCACCTTCCTCATTTCATTCTTTGGTTTTCATTTAAAGAAAGGCAGCAGCTACGATGAAAGTACTTCCAATACTTCCAAGTATTGACTGTTGCAAAGGTGATTTTTTAAATTTTCTTTTTAAGTTTAAATCGCACGGGGTTTGGAGGGGAAGATATCTCTCCTGTTTTCTGGTCTTTGGGGGAGCTTTGTTAGTGATTTAAAGTATCAAAGTCCCCTCTTTCCCTCGTGATCCTCCTTTCTGCCCGCTGTTTCAATGATTTAGTTGTTGCTTCTTGTTGTTGTGTGCCTTCAAGTCGTTTCCAGCTTATGGTGACCCTAAAGGGGACTTAATATAAATGTTTTTTTTTTCCTTAGCAAGGTTTGTTCAGAGGAGGTTTGCCCTTGACTTCCTCTGAGGCTGAGAGAGTGTGACTTGCCCAAGCTCACCCAGTGGGTTTCCACAGTCGATCCCTGGTCTCCAGAGTCGTACTCCAACACTCAAACCATTATGCCACAACCAAAATATGATCACACTAAAGTTTAAGTAAATGTTGTGCATTTAATGTATTTGGTTTTGATTTTTTTAATATAAAGTTAGCCCCTCCCCCCCCCCCATTAACAAATTGCTGTGCAGATGCTAAATACATCGAATCTGAATCTCTCTCCCAGCCTCAGAGCATCCAGCTACAAATCCCATTCATGAAAACTGGAAGGAGTGCCCCCTTGGGAGGCTTAAGATCTCCTTCTAAGGCAAGTGCCAGAGATTGGGTTTTTAAATGAGAGTCCAATCAGGAGGCAGGAACCTGGCATGTGATCTTCAGGCACATTTTTGGAAAAAAAATTCCAAGGTAGTGGAATTCAAGATTCAAGAGACCTCCTGACTACTCTCTCTCCTGTCCTCAAATGCCAAGCTTTCAGACTGCGAAGGTTTAAGACTGGAAAGAGGCTCCGATCCAAACTGCAGCCCTCCAGAGATGTTTGGACTGCAAGTTCCGCCTGCTCTAGGCTGTATGGCCAATGGCGAGGAATGCTGGGACTTGCAATGCGCTGGGATTGCCATGCCCATCTGCCCTAGCCAGTGCAGCCAATGCAATACAGTGGGCCCTTGGTTCCAGGATCCCTGGGGATGCTCAAGTCCTATTATTACTTGTACCCCACTTTCCCCCCAAAATTGGGACTCAAAGCGGCTTACAGTAAAAAACAACAACACAGTACAATTAAAAACTTGCAAAAGTGACAATTAAATACTATGGCATGGTAAAATGGTGTGCATAAAACAGTAAAATCAAGATTTGCTATTTGGAATTTATATGTATATGTGTGTGTGTATATATATATATAT